CATATTTACTTTCGTTGTTAAAATTTTGCATTGGTTTGTCTGCTTATTGTGTTCAATTTCTTTGAGTTTTCTTTTTCCTGATATCTCTCAGGTAATTTCAGTCTTTCCCTCCCTGCCCTGTCCCCCCCCCTTTACTGTGTGGCTCCCTTCCCTATGATAGTTGTTACCTTAGGAGCTGGATCTCAAAGCGTACCAGCCCCTTCTATTCAGGTTCACCAGTCTAGGCTTCTGTCTCAAGTAACTTTTGGGTGATCAGAAGTGGCCCAGCTAGATGCTGAGCTCTTTTTCTCAGGCTTAGTAGAGTATTACAGAAACATCCCCTCCTACTCTGCTTCCCTTCCCACCCCCGAACCCCAACCCCACCCCCATTCCAGTGTCCTGTCCCACTCCTTCTGTTCCTCAAAGGAACTGCTAGAGGCCTGACCCCAGCAGTTGAGTGTTGCTAGGGGTTTGTTTGCTCTGGCTCCTGGATTTCAGAGGTTTTGGTGCTATGAGGTAGTGGCCTCTAGGAAGTTATTGCTCCTATAGTGCTGAGGTTGTGTTGCCTATTTGTCCTGGCCTGGGCATGAGATCTCCACAACACTGTAAAGAGTGAGCGTGAGTTGTGGTATTAGTGGGTAGAAGCTTTGTTCTGTGTTGGGTGTTTGGGTCTACTAGTGGGTACTACTGGTAGTGGGAGGTAGGGGAGGGGTGCTGAATGAGCTCAGGGTCAATGAATATTAGCATCAGCATCATTTTTTTAACCTTCTTTTGGATACTGGGCATCTTAGACTATGGAGACAGCTAATCATGCTTTGTCTTTGATGCATATTTTCTGTTTTGGAGAGGTTTGAGAGATCATGGGGACCAGAGAAAATGTCTAGTCCTTCATCTTGTCCAGTAATAGATTTTTTTGGGGTGGAGGGACAGAATAGGCAGAAATACAAAGTGGCACTCTGCCCTAGAGGGCCTCCTTATTCATCCCCAGTGATGGTGATTTAGTGGTGGATGGTAAAACAGAAAGTGCAAAGGATCATATGGGTCTTAGTTCATCTCAAAACATGGATATAAATGTTGATAGTCTTGTCATGTGATCTTTGTTCAGTGACCAGCAAGTTGGTACACTACTGGAAGAAATAGAAACACACCCATATCAACACTAGTCCAACCCCTTTCATCTTGCAGATAGGAGACTGAAGTCCAGAAAGCTTGTGACTTGTCTAAGGCCACAGTGTAGGCACCATCATCATCATCATCATGCCAATAACTGCAATGAACAGCAGTGGCATTTATGTAGCCTTTTCAGGCTTATATAGCTTTATATGGCTTATGTCGTATGGTCCTCCTGACTTTTGATTTTTATCTTCCTTTTACTCATGGGTAAAGTAATGTTTAGAGAGGTTAACTGACTTACCTGTCACCAAACAACTAGACATAAGATTTGAACTCAGGTCTCTTGGATTCCCATATCTCTTGGATTCCAGTTCAGTACTTTATCGGCAATATCAGTGCTGTCCTTTCTCATACTTTTCCAATAAAAACCACAAAGTAACTGAGCAAATGGAAACTCAATAAAAACAACCACTGCATGGTACTGAACCTCTCTATATAGTCCCAATTCTGTTAATCAGGCAAATTTGTGACTCATCCAGGTCTCTTGAGGGGTGCTTAGGTTTTTTTTTCTTTTTTGGAATTTTGTCTAAGTCACTTAAGGCCTGTCAGGCTCTGCCTCAGTTGACATGTAGTTTGGGGGAGATGAAATTCTCGGCACTTAATTTTACTATTAACAGCTCTGGTGCGGAAAAAAAAGCGTTTGGCAGAGGTGTAGGCTGGAATTCTTATTTAAAATGAGGTCTGGTGAATTATCAGGAGGTTTCTTTCATGCAATTGATGTTAGGTCCCCCAAAAGCAGATGTAATTGAGAGCTGGCTATAATTTACATAACATATCACTTGCAGCTCTTCCTCCCTACCTCTGTGGAGATAAATAATCATCATAACTAGAGACACTTTCAAGTGAGATTAGTTTAATTCTTCTCAATAAGCAGTATAATCTCTTTCTCACTACAAACCTGATTTTTACCTCTGGAAAAGGACATTGTAGTATCACAAAACCAAGAGATTGGTTGAGTATACACATGAACAGAGTACAATGTAGCAATGAATTTCACAATTTTTTTTAATTTCAGGAAAAGTAAATGTGTATATATCCACACATATTACACAGGTCTCAAAAGAGAATCTTACAATGAATTATATTTAATGCTGTTGATGAAGTTTAAGAAAAAAATGTTTTTAATTACATTTAAATGACAGAAAGACTTTCATATAAAATCCAGGCATATCCTGCAGAACTTTAAAGTTTTGTAATACTTTTGATTAGATATTGTAACATAACCCATCAGAAGGTCTGGAGCACACTTCATTTGGGGCCAAACCCCTGCTCTCCTTCTGGCAGGTTCCAACTCCCCTTTATTTGTATCTATTCCTGTAGCATTAACTTCTCCAAGTAATGTTTTACTGGAGTTGTTTTTATGAAATTAAAATAGAAATCCATATCCAGGTCTTAATTCATCATGAATCTGAATATTTACCCCCTAAAATTCTGTTTCCATGGTGGAGGCAAGATAAAGACAGTTTGTTATCTTTTAGAATTCCTGATTTAGGATGATTTAATCATGTATCAATATGTTGGCTGTTCCTCAAACATTTGAGTGGGCGCTGAATTGGTAAAAAGAGCTGAATAGAGCTCTAAGAACAGGTGAGATCATCACAATCCTAATTCGTTGTAGAAATTCATTGGATGAATGAATGAAAAAAGCATTTATTAAGCACTTACTATGTGCCAAGCTGTGCTAAGCACTGAGACTATGCATAAAAAGGGGGGAAAGTCCTTGCTCTGAAGGAGCTCACACTCTAACTGGGGGAGACAGCACATAAAGGACAGTTCAGATACAGAACAGATGGACTAGCTGGGAAAACATGATAAAGGCCCATCGGTGCTGCAGTATCATCTATGGCAAAGCCCAAGGGTCCTGAGGTTCCATCAGAAGATCAGATGATAGTGTTAGGGGTCTGTCTTTATCCTTCAAAGGTGGAAGGACATGAAAACAGCCAAACTGTTCTCAGCCATTTTCAGATAATTTTATCCCCTGCATTCTATCCATTGGCTTGGCAACAGAGTTCAACATAAATCACTTGAATCAATCTGCTTAGCTTTCATTTAATTTGTTTTTATCATTTTTGTCATTATCAGAAAGTATGCATTAAATGGTTCAATGTGCCTGAGCAGGACCATATATAAAGCCCAGAGTGGGGAGAAGGGAGAGTTTTAGAAAATCAAATGATTTCATCTTCAGAGGGCTTTCCAAATATTAGCCAATTAGGTGCAACAAACAGGTATTATCTTTCTTAGTTTAAGGTTGACACATTTGAGGTGAGAATATTAATGATTGACTCAGAAGCTTAGGAGCAGAATGGGTAGAGCTTGGAGGTCAGGGGATGACTGGCAGCTAATCCTTGGCTCTGAACAAGGGCTGAAAACTGTACCCAGCTGACTTCCCTGGTTAAAATGGAAAGAGCAAACACAAGTTAGCCTGAAAAAATGCAGATAATGCTTTTATACTGTTTCTTCAAACCAAAGTGGGGAAAATAGCTTTAATAGAGCACTAGGGGGGAAAAATCACTTAGACTTGTACCCTATCTCACATGAACACTGGGAACACCAGGTGAAAAAAAAGCTTTTCATAGTGATATTGGCATATAGTGGCTCTGCTGTGTAGGCTTGAGTGGCTGCTGTGAGTGGGGAACAAGAGACATGCATCTTTCTTAACCAGGCATTTAAAATTCATAATGTAGACTAACTTTTAAATTTATGTAGAAGAGATTTTATCACAATTGAGTCAGACAACCCAAACCTATCAACTTTCTGTTTCTAAATCGAAATGGAAAATTCTCTTTCCTTATTACTTTCTTATCTTCTTAGCCTTTAAAAAAAACTCATATCAAGATATTAATAATAGTTTAAATCATTCTGATAATCCCATACAAGCCTTTTGCTATGTCATAATGTGGCTGAAAGAGGTTATCCTGAGACCCTATTGACACTTGGTAATTCTCTAAATGATGTTTCTCATACTTTAGCTTTAATTTTAATTTCGTGACTTGTCCCCCATACTGAGAGGAAGCCTGCTATATAGTATATAGAAGTCTGACCTTCGAGTCAGGATTCCCTGAGTTTGGGTGCTGCCCTTTGACACATTAACTAGCCATGTGGCCATGGAGGAACACAGCTTTTTTCATTGCCCCCTAACAGCTAAGATTATAAATTACCAAGGAACAGCAAACATGCATTGCTGGAGGGGGATTTCTACACTAGAACTTCCTGACATTGATGATATCACAGATGTGTACCCAAAAAACCCCCTCCTGTTATCTTCTACAAACTTGGGCCTGTGTTTTATTCATCTTTGTATTTTTCTCAAAATACCTAACATTGTGTTTTATAGATAGTAAGTGCTTTCATACATGTTTATCAAATGAAATAAAATTAAGTTGAAACATCTAACTTCTTGCACATTCTGGAGCTAAACTCTTCTATGTCATTAGGCAGACATTCAGACTTCACATAAACTTTTAAAAAATGAGAACACTACTCTGAAAGCTAATCTCTTCTCCATTTGCATATTTGATTTCTTTCCACAAGTAAGCCTTCATTTTTGTAACTAGAGTCTCAATGCAGTATGCATACCTTGATGTTCATTCAATTTGCTAATACTTCCTTGGGATTTAAAAAATATTTTCAGATGTTTTAGGTTGTCACTAAAAGTTACCCCAGAAAGACTTGATGTAGATCAGTTGTCTGATAGCTGGTGTGGTAGTGAAGAACATGCTTGTTTGAGGTTATAAGATACATATTTGAGAAAAGCCAGGGATTTCCCCAGGGCCACCGAACAAACACTTGAAGTAGCATTTTCATTCTGATGTCCTGTCCTGATTGTTTTTGTTTTTGTTATACCACAGCATATTGGAGCACAATGAAAGAGTTTATTCCCAGGCCTCAGGAGAAGTTCAGCTGCACCCAGTGAGAAAGAGAGCAAGAGTACACAGAGGGCTGCATGAATGGTCTTGAAACATATGTGATTTTAGGTAAGTCTTCTGAACTGAAGGGCTTGGTGCATATTGGCTTTTAATTTCATTAACTCTTATTTATTTTGTGTGCCTGAACATCTTATTAGAGTGTGTGACTATTTCTGTCCAACACAAGCAGTAGGATATTGGAGGATTTGTTTTCTTAATGAAAAATCCAGGTAATACTACCCAGTACATGGTGTGTTTGTTTCAGAAATTAACAAAATGATACTATCTGAATAAACTTTATTTGTCGATAGGGAGAATCATGACCAGCTGCCATTTTAGCCGAGAATACCAGAATTAACAAAATGAAGACTAGGAGCTGGTTCAAATTCTACCTCTGACACTCATCACTTGTTGGACCTCAGGCCAATACTTTCACCTCATTGGGCTCTGATATCCTCCTGTATAAAACAGAGAAGATTCAGAGAGCTGGGCTAGATGGCCTGTGAAGCCCTTTACAGCTCTAGACCTATGATCTTGTCACTAAGGGAGATTCCTTTCTTTGGATTCAAATGTCTGATAATGGTCAGTCAGTCAGTCAGTCTATGAACAAGCATCTATTAAATAACAGCTATGTGCTAGGCACTTTGCTGTTCACTGGGGATACGAAGACAAAAACTGGGACAGTATCTTCTCTCATGGAGCTTGCACCTAATGGGGTAGGGGCGCTGATAACATGTTGATAGTGAGATGTGAGTGAAATAAATACAATGTTACAAGAGCAGGGTTAACAGCTGGGGAAACCAGGAAGGGCATATTGAAAGAAGCAATACTTGAGCTAAGCTTTGAAAGGAACTGGAAGCTTCAAGAGGTAGAGAGGAGAAGGAAGAGGAAGAGGAGGAAGAGGAGGAGGAGAGAGAGAGAGAGAGGCAGACAGACAGACAGACAGACAGATTAGAGGCATAGAGGAAAGACTATGCAAAGACATGGAAGTATATCAATTATCTTAGGCAGAGAGGTAGAACAGTGGATAGAGTGGGGGAGGGGAGGACCTGAGTTCAAATATGGCCTCAGATTCTTATAAGCTGTGTGACCCAGGACAAGTCATTTACCTTCTGTCTGCCTCAGTTTCCTCATCTGCAAAATGGAGATAATATTACCTACTTTCCAGATTTGTTGTGAAGATCAAATGAAATAAATTTGCAAACTGTCTGACAGATAATAGACACTTAATAAATGTTTCCTTCCATCCTTCATATACAAAGAGTAGCTGGAAGTCTTGGCTGGAACTAGCCAGCATAGATTTTCATAAAAGAGCTGTGCATTTATTGTCAGAGGCCCTGGTATTAAATCTGACTTTTCTCCTGGCTACCTTTGTGGCCTTGATCAAGTTATTTTAATTAGGTGCTTTCTAAGGACTCTCCCAGCTCTAGATCTGATCATCTTTTGTGGTTATTCAGCATGAAATGGGTGGGAAGGTACCTCTTATTTAGAGCATCCAACATCCTTTACTCCTTGAGTGGCAACTTTAGCTGGTTAGAAGTGGTCAGATGTTCTAGGAAGGAAATAAACTACCCCTGAAGCTAGTCATAGCAACTTCAGAAAAACCTGGAAAGACATATGGACTGATGCTGAGTGAAGTGAGCACAACCATGAGAACGTTGTACACAGTAACAGCCACTTTGTGCAATGACTAACTTTGATCGACTAAGCTCTTCTCAGCAATTCAAGAATCTACGACATCTCCCAAAGTCTCATGATAGAAAATGCTATCCACATCCAGAGAAAGAATTATGAAGTTCGAAGGCAGATTGAAGCATACTATTTGCTCTTTTTTTTCTTCTGTTTTGCTTTGTTTCTTCTTTCTTATGGTTCCTCCTGTTGGTTCTAATTCTTCTTTACAACATGACTAATGGGAAAATATGTTTAATAGAAATGTATATATATATATATATAGCCTATATCAGATAGCATGCTGTTTTGGGGAGGGAGGGGAAGAAAAATTTAAAACTCCAAAACTTATGGAAGTGATTGTTGATAACTCAAAATAAATTAATGAAAAAAGAAGTAGGAAGTAAGGTAATAAAAGTTTTGCATACAAGTAAAAAAAAATTTGCCATAGCAATAAGTACTAAAACTGTATTAGATCACAAAAAACAATTGTACCACCCTATGTGCCCTTAGAACTGCCTCTGACCTCACAGTGTATACAAGTAGTAAAATGAATTAAATAATAATTATCATTTTTTCAATCATCATTCACATAATGAATGAATGAATGACACGCCTTGGGAAATGGTTATTTGCAAAACTGTTAAGCTTTCCAGTTTAAATTTGTGGAGTTCCTTGCTACTACTGGTATTAATGATCCAGTCCTTTCCTAAGTGAAAAATTTCATTCTCTAACGGTAGTAATATACCTCCACTTAGGAGATGGCAAGATGCAGTACAGTTACAGAATGAACCGATTAAACATGACAAAGAGGCTTCATTTGGGCTTTTGCTATTTCCTTTTCTTTAGGAAATCTATAGTTTCCCTGCGGCCTTTTATCGTGTAGATGGCTTACCTGCCACCCTTTCCCCCTGTGAAATCCGTAACTGCTGTTTCTATTTAGTGGCATTTATTTTTCCCCTTATTTCTAAGCATCCTCTTTCTGAAGCTGAGCTGAGAGCGACACTTTGAATGATGCTTGGATGTCACTCTGGTTAGCAGCTGGCTGCCTGCCTCTGAATGTGGTGCCTTATTTGGGTTTCACAACTGCATTTTTTCTCTTACAAATGTTAAATTATGAAGTGCAGGAAACCACATGAATGCAGCATTTAGATAGAAAATTCAAACCCAATTAGGTCAGAAAATGCTAGTGTTAAAATTCTCTTGGTAACAATATCTTCCCTGAAATCAATGTGGAAAGCACATTTTACCTGTGGGCTGGTGCAGTTTGGTGAGTTGTGTGTGTCATAATATCCTCATCTCCATTTATGCTGCATCTGCACATGTTTTCCATATCATATTGAATCATCAGTTTTGGTCATGCTCCATTGTTTTCTGCCCTCCCTTCCCTGCTGTGGATCCAAATCCTACCCATCCATCAAGGCCTAGCTCAAATCCGTGGAATCTTGGCTGATTCCTCTAGTCCTCATTAATCTCCCTGTCCTTTGAACTCTTATAACCCACAGCCTATACCACATAATTTAGCACTTCATCATTTACCTCTGTGTGTCTTCATCCATCCTTTGCTCCTTCCCTCCAGTCTTAGAGAATGAGGTGGCATTCCTCCTTGCCACACTCCACATATCCTTGCTCTTATCCTATCTTTTATGACACCTTGTTCCTTCTCTCTGTCTCTCCCTCTCTCCTCTCTCATTCTCCCTCTCCCTTCCCTCTCTCTCTCTCTTTCTCTCTCTCTCTCTCTCTCTCTCTCTCTCTCTCTCTCTCTCTGTCTGTCTGTTTGTCTGTCTCTCTCTCTCTCTCTCTCTCTCTCTCTCTCTCTCTCTCTCTCTCTCTCACAGTCCCCCTTCTCTTCTTGTTTATTGGTTCTTTTTGTCTACTGTTTGCTCATATCTTCCCAGTTTTCCTTATCTATAAATGAGAGGGTTGGACTCAAATGTCCTCTTAGCTCTCTTCCAGCTCTAAATCTTTAATCCTGTAATTCTGTCTAAAACATAAACACATTCCCTTGACCATTCTGTCCTCTCAAACTTTATTTTCTATATCCCAGCCATTCACTACTAAACTTCTAAAGAGAGTAGCCTTTACTTATTGCCTTCTTTATCACCCACTCATTCTTAAGCATATGTAAATTAGTCTCTCTGCATCATCTCTGTTGAAATTGCTTTCTCCAAGATAACTCTATCTTATAGTTAATTCTATAAGTGGAAGAATAGTTACTGATCTGGGTTGTTCAAGAGAATATCCTTCGTCAATGAAATCACAATTCTGGACCATGGTCTCCTGTGACATCTTACCTGCAAAATTTAATGGATTTTTGTTAGTCTTCATTTTGGGGGATGTTTTTACAGTATTTGACAAGTGTTGATCATTGACTCATTGATACTCTCTCTTTCTTTGGCTTCATGGAAACTTGTCTCTTCTTGGTTCACCTCCTACCTCTCTGACTGTTCCTTCTAAGTGTCTTAATTATTCATTCCCCTCCTTCAGTTTTCAAAATGTGAATATCCCCCAAGGACTTTCCCTGTGCCCTCCTGGTCTCTCTATGCTCTTTTTAATTGGAGACATCATGCATTTTCATGACTTTAATTATCATCTCTATGAAGATGACTCCTAAATTTTATATTCAGTGCTGATTTCTCCTTTGATTGGTACTTTTATGATTCCAACAGTCTGCAATGCATTTCCACCTGTATATCCACCTGTATATTGATGGCACCTCAAATTCAACTTGTTTCAAACTCATCTTCTTCCCAACTTCCCTATTTGTTTTGATGGCATTAATATCCTCTGAGTCACCCAAGCTTGAGTAGTCATCTTTGGTTTTTTCCTTCTTGCCTACCACATCCAATCATTTGCTAAGTTCTGTTCAGTATCTATCAGAACCAACCCTTTTTTCCACTCAAGAATGCCTAATTCAATCTATCTTTCACTCAGATGCCAAAGTGATTTTACTAAAACATTTGTGACCATGTAACCCCCTCCCTCTGCCAACTCAATAAACTCCAACAGCTTCTTAGCTTTTGGATCAAATATAAAATCCTGTTTGGCATTCAAAGCCCTTTCCAATATGCTTCTTTTCTGCTTCTCCATTATTCTGATATTTCACCCCCGCAAATGTACTATACAATATAGTTATATTATACTCTATCTCCCAACTTCTTACCTGTCACTGTTCTTCATGTCTGGAATGTTTTCCCTCCTCACTCCAACTCTTAATTTCCCTACAGTCCTTTAAGACTCTGTTCAAATTTCATCTTCTGCAGGAAGCCTTTGCCATCCCCCTACTACTAGTACCTCTCCTCTGAGATTACCTGACAGTTACACTGTTTGTATCTTGCATACACAGAGATATTTGGATATTGTCCCACCCCTTTTTGTTTGTGAACTCATTTAGAGCCTAG